GATCAAGGCATTGGAAGATAACAAAACCTGGGAGCTTGTTCCCTTGCCCAAAGGAAAGAAAGCCATTGGATGTAAATGGGTTTACAAAATAAAGTATAAGGCTACAGGTGAAATAGAAAGATTCAAAGCACGATTGGTGGCTAAAGGGTTCAACCAAAGAGAAGGTTTGGACTATCAGGAAACATTTTCACCTGTGGTGAAAATGGTTACTGTTAGAAGTGTTCTTTCGTTAGCAGCTTCAAGGCAGTGGCCAATTCACCAAATGGATGTTTATAACGCTTTCTTGCAAGGAGACTTGTCAGAAGAGGTGTACATGAGCATACCACAGGGATTCAGTAAATCAGGAGATAAATCATTGGTTTGCAGGCTGCATAAATCCCTCTATGGACTTAAGCAGGCCTCAAGACAATGGAATCTCAAGCTCACATCTGCTCTCATTGACACTGATTTCCGACAGAGTCATTTGGATTACTCATTATTCATTAAAAGGGAAGCTGGAAAAATGGTCGTTGTCTTGGTGTATGTAGATGACTTGCTTATAACTGGTGATGATATGCAACTGATACAATCCACCAAAGCTGCTCTTCAACATAAATTCAAGATCAAAGACTTGGGGGAACTTAAATATTTCTTGGGAATTGAATTTGCAAGGAGTGCTGAAGGGATCTTGATGCATCAGAGGAAGTATTCCCTTGAGTTGATTGCTGACTTAGGGCTCTCCGGATCTAAGCCTGCCTCTTCTCCTATGGAACAAAACCTGAGGCTATCCACCATTGAATTAGACTCTTATGTTGGAACCATTGATGATAAACCTTTGGATGATCCAGGTCCTTATCAAAGATTACTTGGGAGGTTGCTATACCTCACAATCACTCGACCAGACATTTCTTTTGCAGTCCAAAACCTTAGTCAGTTCATGCATTCTCCCAAGGCCTCTCACATGGAAGCTGCCTTGAGAATTGTTCGATATATCAAACATTGCCCAGGATTGGGGGTTTTGCTGAAGTCACATGGTTCTGAGTCCTTATCAGCATTTTGCGATGCCGATTGGGCTGCTTGTCCCAACACTCGCAGGCCTGTGACAGGTTACCTTGTCAAGTTTGGGGATTCCTTGATTTCTTGGAAGTCCAAGAAGCAGTCTACTGTTTCCAGAAGCTCAGCGGAGGCAAAATATCACAGTCTAGCATCTACTGTTGCTGAAGTTGTGTGGGTTCTTGGTTTGTTTCATGAGCTGGGCGTGCAACATACTTTATCAGTACCTATACATTGTGACAGTAAGTCCGCGATTCAGATTGCTGCGAACCCTGTATTCCACGAGCGAACCAAACACATTGACATTGATTGTCACTTCATTCGTGAAAAGGTTCAACAAGGGCTAGTTCGCACTCTTTATGTCGCTACTGATGAGCAGCAAGCGGACCTACTTACTAAAGGTCTTGGCAGAGCACAACATGAGTACTTGGTTTCCAAGCTAGGAATGAAGAACATCTTCATACCTCCTAGCTTGAGGGGGGGTGTAAAGGATAGCTTAAGTTAACTATAGTCAGTATGTTAGTTAGTTGTAACCATGGTTAGCTATTGTTTAGTTACTTGTACAGCTATCAGTTAGTTGGATAGGTGGCAGTTATATACACTTGTATCAACTTCATTTTTTGTGTAAGATTGAATGAGAAACGCTTCCAATTTGCTCTCTCTCAGTTTGACTCTTTTCATCCTATCTCACAAATTCAACCAACACACAGATTTAACAGATTGACATCTTCACTAGCCTCCTTACAGATAAAGCACCAACTTAGGCAAACAACCTTCCGCTTTCTAAGATTCTCGGCCGTCAAGATCGCCCCTCTAGCTGCTAACCAACAGAAGAAGCACACCTTCCTCCGCACCTGATGTATCCTAACCGATCTATATGGAAAGGCATCCTCCTCCCTAATCAATAGCTATTCCCAGAAAGACTTAACTGAAAAAACTCTGTTACTCTCCAAACCCCACCTCTATGGGTTGTGGCTATCTGTTGACGTACAATTGTTGTGAAGCAACCCTAACAATCTTTGAAACTCAATCACCTCCCAAACATGGAAATTCCTCCTAAACTCGAGTCCCAGAAAATCTCTCCACCTTGCATCACCCTAACTTGTTGAACTGTCAGCTCCTTTTGGCATGATACCCTGTAAATGCTCGGGAATTCATCTTTCAACATGTTATCCCCACACCACTTATGTCCCCCAAAAGCTAACTCTCCTAATATCTCCTGCCCCAAATGATACATTCCCACTAAATTCTTCCCATCTCTTCATAATATTCCTCCATAACGCACACCCATAAGGCAAATTGACGTCCTTAGTTCTCGACCCCCCCCCCCCCCCTACAGCACCCCATATTTATCTACTATTACCCCTCTCCAAAGCGCTTGTTCCTTCACTCCGAATCTTCATAGCCATTTACCCAACAAAGCTTTGTTAAAAGTCCTTAAATCTTGAACTCCAAGCCCTCCTCGAATCTTCGAGTTTTGTAACTTATACTTCCAAAACAGTTCTTGACTAGGGTGAGTGTTCACAATTTCTCCTAATTTCTCGAAATCTTGAGATTTTAAATTTCAGAGGTTTTGATGCTTAAGTTACTAATAATGAAAGCACATCATTAGCATGTTAAGTTTTAGCCTAGTCTGAGAGTATGAAAATAACAAAGACCAAATAACACTTTGTTATGTTTAAACATTATAGCAAATAATATGCTCACAACAGTCTCTTACCAAATTTTGACAGTTGACATCTAACTTGACAAATAATCTTTGGAAAAAAGGATAAAAGCTTTGTCATTTGACCTAATCATCTAAGTACAAAATTGTAGACCGAAGCTTAATCGATATTTGATAAAGCAAGAAGGTTTTTAACATTTACATAAACAAAGAGCGACAACAATATAATTAAAAAAAGGAAATAAAGAAAGAAAGCAACTAAGCTCAGATTGAAGGTTGCAACAAAAACCTAGGTCGCAGAAAGAAGCTACGGAGATCAACAATGGCGAGTTGACAAAAAAAATTTGGACCATTTCTCGATTTGTGCGTGTCATCCTTGCGCAGGGGCCATGCTAATCTTCTCTGTATCGTTCCAATTTTATCGGATGTCCCCGAAGGGACGAACGTCACTCTTCTGCTTTCGCTATATGAATTGCAAAGAGATATAGCATTTAGTCGGTGTGGGACTAGCTGGTTTCGTTGGGATAGAACCGGAATAGGGGTTAAAATATCATGGTATAGCCAGTTTTCACACTGGTCAATGAAAAATAGCCAGCGTTTACCAAGTCAATGAAAAATAGCCACTATTTTGCTGCAACAGGGACCGGTCCAGTATAATATACGGGAGTTCTGGTGCATTTGTGTACGAACTCCAGCATATTATGCTGGACCGGTATACTTTGCTAACTCCTGTAAAATTTGCGGGAGACTGGAGCACCAGTGCTCCAAACTCCAGTATATTATACTGGACAATTATACTTGCTGGAACTCCCGTAAAATTTGCGGGAGTTCCAGCATAATTATGCTTGAACTCCCGTAAAATTTGCGGGAGTTCCAGCATAGTTATCCTGGAACTCCCGTAAAATTTGCGGGCGTATTTTTCCGAATTTTGAACAGTGTTTTCGCTCAGATTTAAAGTGGCTAAATTTCGATGACTTTTGAAACTTGGCTATTTTTCAACGACCAGTGGTAAATCTGGCTATTTTTGAATTTCTCCCGGAATAGGGACTTGGTTACTCGTTTGGTTACCTTTTTTTATTAAAAGCCCATTACGAAATGGGCTGCTTGTGGACTACACTACGATGAAAAACTTTGTAAATTCCACTTTTGCATTCATTTTCAAGCACATAATTTCCTCGTTTTTTTTAATAAAAATGATAATATTTTTTAATATTATTAATACTACTATAGTCTATTACATAACTTGATTAGTCTAGAATACGTAATATCATAGATTCTTAAGCTCTCAAAAACTTGCATGTTGCTTTCATATTTTGCTAATTCGTCCTCCACTTTATTGCTTTCCCTAAATACATAACTTCCAGCCTCGAACATTACCAACATGTAATCCTCAACAATATTCTAGCAAGGATTGTTATCGTTAGTCAACATGACAGTAACTATATCTTTGCAATCTATTGTAATCTCTATTGGCAATAGAATTTATTCTAGAATTAACTCTAACCCCTTGCTTTAGGCTAGAATTTTTGCATATATGTTTGTAGAGTAAGGAATGTATCTAATACCTTTCTTTTCAAAATCAAAGCCACCATATGATGGTGAGGGGTTTAGGGTTTAGGTTGATCTCAACCTGTTTATTTGGTTCAGCAGAAGTATAAAGAGTTAGGTAATATGTGGAAACCTGTCTGGTTACATGTAGGATGAATAGTTCATCCTTGTACAGAATTGCTTGCTATCAACTTAACAGTTGCTAGAATAAAGTTAGTTAGAGAGGAGGACTCCTCCATTACAATTTGAGCAATGAAGCTGGCAAAAAAGAGTGCAAAATATTCAGAAAATGATCACCCGGGAAAATTATTTTCTGGATCAAGTACGAGAATAGTGATATCGCGATAGTTGACTATTAAAGGTTGACAAAAAGTTCTAAGTGTTAATTCAAGTAGACATATCGGGAGTAAAATATGGTGACGGATCGGTGAGTTCGGTATGCCATCGAAGCAAGTTTGAAAACTACAGTTGTTTTTTAAAGTGTCGTGGAGTTAAAAAGGGAAATTCAAACAGGACAGGATTTGAATAGTTTGTTAACAATTAAATTTGTTCGAGGTAAATCCCCAACAACTTTTTTCTTTAACAATCTTTTGGTAGTAACAATATAGATCTTTACCTCTTATAGGGGACTAAGATCACCCATTTCTCAAAATTGGCCCAATTAATTTTGTTTTCATTAGGTATTTTCCCTTTTAAAAAGAGTTATAACAACAAAACAGAGCCAGTTTTACCTTATCAAAAAATACACAGAAGCAAAGTCAGTTTTCAAATCTCAAAATTAAGGAAAGCTAGACAAAAGGACATAATGCTCAAAATTATTTGATACTGCAAATGACTGAAACTCTTAAAACATCCAAGCTGCCAGTACAGAATTATATTGTAAAGAGAAACGATCCCATGTCAATTATCAGATCTTACGTTGTTAAAGTAAAAACCTACTCTTGTACTGCTCTTCTAGCAGCATCTTCTTCTGCTTTCATCTTCCTCTCCCATCTTCTCTTCCTATAATCAGCTAACATTTCCGGCATTTTCTGCATCAGTTCAGCCGTCTTCTCCCGCTTTTCTGCTGATATTCTGTCACACTTATGTCCTTTCTGCTTGGTTCTCATTTCCTTCCTCTCTGGATCATATGGCCAATCTTGTCCAGCAAGGAGAACTTCCTTGCGTAGGCGAGCTCGATGGCGAGCACTTATGCCCAATGGTTTCCATGCCCCAAGTTCCCAGTAACCCCAAACTCCCTTGGAAAGCTCGGCTTTGTATTTTGCCAACTTCTCTTGCCATTGATATTGATTTTCTCCAACTGCTTTTGCTACTGATTTCACAGCTTTTCCAGCCATTGTTACTACGGAAAAATAAAACATAAATTTTCTTTAAGCATTCACATTGCCAAAGTAAGATTTGAACGAACGTAAGACGGCATTCATCAATGTTAAGTAAACCAGACATGACCATTTTTACCTTTCCCAGAAGGGGAAAAAAGGGAAACCAGACATGACCATCAGGTTAGTCACAATTATTCTCTCGATGGTTTAATCAACACAGAAAAAGCACCAAATAAGCAGAATCAATGTTTTTCAGACCACTGGTCCCTGCCGCTGCAGTTGTGGTTAAGTGACAACCTCTTCTCCTCCCCCCCTACCCCCCCCCCCTCCCCCCCCAAATCACCATCAGAACATGATCTGTTCTCCCCTTCTCCCACCTCTGTAGCAATCCTGTATCACAGAACTGACTAATCCCGAACTTGGAAGCAATCATCGCTCCTGCATCTTGTGATATTCGATCTCCTTCCCCCGTCCCTAAAGTAAATTTATTGTTTTTCTGCCGTTTCTTTACATTTCTTTGCTTCATACTTTCCGCCATATTTATTCCATCTTTTGCTAAACTCTTTCTTTACATTTATTTTCCTACAAGGTAGATTCTTACATTGTAGAATATTAGAAATATGTTTTGCATTACATGTGCATGGTAAACAATAAACTTCGGGTAACTGAGACACAAATCTTAATCCGGGTCTAAGTACATTGGATAGTAAACGACCCATAAAAACCAAAGTCGATTGTTATAACTTATATGTCATCAGCCGAGCAACCCTTAAGCTTAAAGTTAAATGAGTAAAGAAAAAACCTATATAAATCTCTCACCACTTCTTGCATACAAATTTCACTATAATGCAGATGAATGCAACTATCGTTGATATTACTAGTAAGTAAAAACACAATACAGCTGGAAGTAGCCACCTGATGAAATTTTATAATAAAGAAACCATGCAGGTTTTATCACGATAGAATGATCCCTATTTTGAATTGATGACCGATCTATGGATAAGAGCTACTTTCAATCTTTCAAAACAAAATCAATTGATCAAGATTTAGAATAATTACTAGGAACAAATTTTCTGCAGCGCTCAAAGCAGATTGCTCCATTGTGATTGAGAAGGAAGAACCACTTAGGACACTCAACTCAAGCAAGCCAGGCACCTAAGTTGTTCGGACTCAAGTGCAAGTCTATGATACGGGTGCGAATCTAGAGGTCGGATCTTTTATGTTCCAGATTTAAAGATGCAGGGGTATGGATCCAGGTACGAATAAGGGTGCGACAGTTAAGCTAAAAATCATTCAAACACCTATAATAGAATTATAAAATATGCCTAAATTATGAGACATTATGTGAAAGACTTACATGGTGCTTGTAGATGGTAGAGTGCAGAAAGTTTCTCTTTTATTCTCAATTTCACCCTAGCTTTTGTATTGATTTCAGAAATCATTGTATCTGTCTCGAATTTCTCCATCGATTTTGGTCAAAGTATCCAAAATCAATCGACCAGATCCGGTATGAATCCCATACTCACACCCACATCGTGTCGACACGGGTGCGGCATCGAAAGTAGAGAGTCCGAACAACTTAGCCAGGCACATTTGTTGGTTAAACCCAGTATAGATCAGCTGTTCAGCAGAACACTCTCCATCAAACAATTAAAGGTGTAAAAACAAAAACAGAACACCCCCTAGGCCCCTACCAACTCTACCTACCCCCACCCCCTATCACCCCAGAAAAAGAGAGCAAGAAAATTATCCCTTTCTTATGCCGAACTTGAAGTTCTTAAATCAATTGCAAGATTGTACGTATTGAGCAACTTCTTTTTTTATTGTTCTCTTGTCATGTTGGTCCCAAAATCAAGTCTAGAGAAGAAAGGCACACTGTTATATGAACTGAAAGTGGGATGTACCTATGTGTATAACTCCAACCTATATTGCACAGATCCTCCAAAAATTTCCAGCACTCATGGCGATCCGACACGGTACGGATGTGACTATGGAATCCGTAGTGGATTTGGTTCTACACCTCTATCCAAGAAGTATAAGTCCATTGAGTATTTGGTTTGATTTTGGTGCTATAACATACATATATTCACATAAAATATGAGAACACTTTGATATTATACGAGATAACTAATGAATAAAATATTGTGTTTACAAAGAATTTTACCAGCTTTAATTTAATAACTTCGATTAGTCGTCGAAGTATATACTTATACATTTATTGGTTGTATCTTAACACCCATACTCATACTCCTACCCATATCCCCGAATCCTAAGATTTAGGTGATGACAAATCCAACGTCTAAATCCTGTATACAGTAACATAGCAAAATTGTAAGACACCCCTCTGATAGAGCTTGACCACTCTTGAATAAACAAAATAGTACTCATTATACTAATTATTAGAAGTATGAAGATCTAGTTCCCTAATATATTAAACTTAAGGCATGCTGATAGACTGATTTATACTTGAGGGGAACCTGAAACTATGGCATCTAAACAAGGAAATCTTACAATACACCATTTAAGCTTATCCTAGATAAGCAAATAACATATACTGCACTTAATAGAAGCAGAATTAAAGGTTTTCCAGAAAAAAATAACAATTTTAACTTGCAAAATTCTTCCTTTCTATTTCAATTGTAGAAAGTGAACAAACTGAGAATGTCAACGTACCTTATAAGACAAATACAAATCAAGTTGAATCTACAACTAAGAGCAGAATTCTAATTGGATAAAACACAGCATTTAGTTATGAAATTCTCAAAATAGAAGCAAGAAAAGCGTGAAATTTAGATCGTTAATTGTTATCATGATCTCAAATGTCTCAGCGCGAGAAGAAATGAGGTGTCCATTCTCTTCCAATAGCAAGATTAGTTAAGTTAAGAGAGAGAGAGAGAGAGATAGAGAGAGAGAGAGAGACAGAGACAGAGACAGAGACAGATACAGAGAGAAGGCGGAAAGGGACTCACCGGAGAATCGCCGGAGCTGGACGGTGTTGGATGATGGAAGAACGGCGTCGCCGGCGACTGATATGAGCCGTAGGGTTTCGGTATGTTGCGAGAGTACGCCTTATTAATGAAAACAAAATTTTGAAAGTACAGAAATAACATTAAACAAATATGTTTTAGTTTTACTTAGAATAAAAATTAGAAAAATTTACAGATTTTGGAAAATGTAAATTGTTATAAATAAAATTTTATTTATCGTGAATGTCTATATTTAAAAAGATTCTAGGATTTTATTACTTGGTGGCTAAGTCACTCTCTCCCTTTAAATAGAGGGTTACTCTCTCTTTGTCTACAATATTGTTCTTCTACTTTTATTGTTTTATTACACGTGATCAACCGCCTCAAGAAGATTAAGGTACACCTTTTCTCCTCTTGTAATTATGACTGATATTATGAAAAGAAAGTTCGTTGCCCTTGAAATTTCGGGCAAGAACTATATGACATGGGTATTGGATGCTGAAATCTATTTAGATGCAATGGGTCTTGGAGACGCCATTAAAGACAAAAATAAAGCATCCACCCAAGATTGTGCTAAAGCCTTGATTTTCTTGCGCCATCACCTTGATGAAGGGTTGAAAATAGAATATCTCACAGTCAAAGATCCACTTGTTTTGTGGAATGGCTTAAAGGAAAGATATGACAACTTAAAGTTGGTCACTCTTCCACAAGCACGATATGATTGGGCTCATCTGAGGCTCCAAGACTTTAAGTCTGTTTCTGAATATAATTCTGCGGTGTTCAGAATTACTTCTAAATTGAAACTCTGTGGAGACGTTTACAATATTTCATGCCTCCAATATGGTCCTGCAACAGCAGTACAGAGAGAAAGGTTTCAAGAAGTACTCTCAGTTGATTTCTCTTCTCCTTGTGGCTGAACGAAACAATGACTTGCTCATGAGAAATCACGAAAATTGACCCACTGGGTCTACACCATTGCCTGAAGTGGATGAGGTGTATTCCCATTATGCCAAGCGTGGAAAAGGCTGTGGCCCTATTCGTGGTCGTGGTCGTAGTCATGGTCGTGGCCGTGGCCGTGGACAAGGAATAAATTTTCCTGGTGTTAATCACCCCCCCGAAAGAAAATAACCACCAAAAGTGGAAAGGAAACGAGAGAAGCCAAAGGCAAATGGTTCAGAAACTGAATGCTATGGTTGCGGTGGAAAAGGGCATTGGCAAATATTTGTCGTGTACCAAGACATTTGGTTGAGCTTTATCAAGCATCTCTAAAGAATAAAAGCCCTGAAGCCGATTTTGTCTCTGACAATAATTTTGACATCACCCACTTGGATGTGGCAGACTTCTTTGAGCACCCTGATGGGAAAATAGACCACTTGATCAGTGATGGATCCGTGGTTAAAGATGATTGAGTAGTTTAAATTTTATTTTTGCCTATTCGTAGTAGTTAGTAAATAAACAACATGTAATCATAGTTCTTTACATGAGTAGTAGTCATTAGTTTTATTTGTGTTATGAAATAGTGTTAGTTCGTTTTGATTAAATATAGTTTTATGGGATAATGTTAGTACGCTTTCAAATAATGTTTCGGCTTGCTTAGTCTTCTCAAAACAGAGTATCCAAATTGATCAGTTTGCTTAAATCCGTTTTAAAACAACGTGTGTTAAATTATGTTACATGTAAAACTTACATTATTCATACTTCATTACATAATCTGTTATGATCCCTTGTTACGTTATCCTTAAGCGTTCTTACTTCCAAGAACATATAGTTATGATTTGCGAATGTTTATAATATTTTATACATTTATTATAACAATAAAATGATACTTCAAGTTACTAGTTTTGTACCAACAATTAAAGAAAAAAAATGTATTGTTATTCGTACTAATATTTATTCGTATATTTCTTTTGTATGTCAAACCATTAGAAGCAAACATGGATATGCCACAAGGCAAACTTGGATCAAAGTTCAATTGTAAAAATATTTGTTTAGTTGATTCATGTACAACTCATACAATATTCAAAGAGAAGAAATATTTCTCTTATTTAAGTATGTGTAAGGCAGATGTTACTATAATTTCTGGTAGTAGTAAATTTTTTAAGGCTCTGGAAGAGCTACTATAACTCTGCCTAAAGGAACAATACTTATCATAGAGAATGCAATGTTCTCCTCCAAGTCCAAGAGGAACTTGTTGAGTTTTAAAGATATCCTCCGAACTGGATATCATATTGAGACAATAGATGAGAATAATCTTGAATATCTCATCATTACCAAGAATGTCTCTGGCCAAAAGAGGGTATTGAGAAGTTTCCATCTTTATCTTGTGGCCTATATTGGACAAGAATTAGTGCAATTGAGGCACATTCTACGGTAAACCAAAATGTTACTGATTCCAATACTTTTGTACTTTGGCATGATCGATTGGGACACCCTGGATCAATTATGATGAGACAAATTATAGAAAACTCAAATGGGCATCCATTAAAGAATTTAAAGATTCTTTTAAATAATGAATTTTCTTGCACTTCTTGTTATCAAGGCAAGTTAATTATAAGACCATCACCAACAAAGGTTGGGATTGAGTCCCCAGCGTTTTTAGAACGTATACAAGGGGACATTTGTGGACCTATTCACCCACCTAGTGGGTCGTTTAGATATTTTATGGTCTTAATAGACGCATCTTCTAGATGGTCTCATGTGTGCCTATTGTCATCTCGCAACCTCGCATTTGCAAAATTAATGGCACAAATAATTCGATTACGGGCACAATTCCCCGATAATCCAATTAAGTCTATTAGACTTGATAATGCTGCTGAGTTTTCATCCCAAGCATTTAATGATTATTGCTTATCAATTGGGATAAAAGTGGAACATCCTGTAGCTCATTCAAAATGGCCTTGCAAAGTCCTTAATTAAACGTCTGCAATTGATAGCAAGACCGTTACTCATGAAAACGAGGTTGCCCACTTCTGTTTGGGGTCACGCCATTTTTCATTCAGCAATGCTAGTTCGTCTCAGACCGACAAATTATCATAAATATTCCCCGTTGCAATTAGTTTTGGGTCATGAACCTAATATATCTCATTTAAGAATTTTTCGATGCGCAGTATATGTGCCTGTAGCACCGCCATATCGCACCAAAATGGGTCCCCAAAGAAGGTTAGGAATATATGTTGGATTTGAATCGCCCTCTATTATTCGCTACCTCGAAACATTAACGGGGAATTTGTTTACTGCACGATTTGCAGACTATCGATTCGATGAGACACTTTTCCCAAAATTATGGGAAGAAGTTGGTGAAACCAAACGGGAAATTTTGTGGAAAAATCCATCATTATCTCATCTTGATCCACGTGCCTCTATTTGTGAAAAAGAGGTGCAAAAGATTATCTATTTGCGGAGAATAGCAAATCAAATACCAGACGCATATACGGATTTGAAAAGGATAACAAAATCACATATCCCTGCAGAGAATGTTCCAATCCGTATTGATCTTCTAGTATCATAGCTAATGAGTCAAAAACACGCCTAAAACGTGGCAGACCATTAGGTTCTAAGAATCGAAATCCTAGAAAAAGGAAAATAAATGATCAAAATGACACTACGAAAGAGTCTCACGAAGAAATCCACGATTTAACAAATTCTGAGATTCATGAGGATACCACTGAGCCCGAGACTCAAGAAAATAAGGAACTATCAATAAATCCAATCGATACTGAGACAAATTTGAATCGATTGGATATAGTTGTGGATTATGTCTTTGCATATAATGTTGCATCTAGCATTATGCAAGATAATGAGGATCTTGAACCTCAATTTGTTGGAGAATGTCGACAAAGACGTGATTGGCCAAAATGGCAAGAAGCAATCCAATCAGAATTGAATTCACTTGTAAAACGTGAAGTTTTTGGGCCTGTAGTCCAAACACCTAATGATGTTAAGCCTGTTGGCTATAAATGAGTCTTTGTACGCAAGAGGAATAAGAAAAATGAGGTACAAAGATATAAGGCACGCCTTGTTGCACAAGGATTTTCACAAAGGCCTGTGTCGATTATGAAGAGACATATTCACCCGTTATGGATGCTATAACGTTCCGTTATCTCATTAGTTTTGCTGTCCATGAAAAGCTTGACATGCATTTAATGGATATGGTTACCGCCTACCTTTATGGCTCACTTGATAATGAGATATACATGAAAATTCCTGAGGGATTTAAAATGCCTAACTCACATAATTCAACGTCCTGGGAAATATTTTCAATCAAACTGCAAAGATCTTTGTATGGTCTAAAGCAATCAGGACGAATGTGGTATAATCGTCTTAGTGAATATTTATTAAAGGAAGGTTATATAAATGATGCCATTTGTCCATGTGTTTTTATAAAGAAAACAACATCGGAATTTGTTGTACTTGCCGTATATGTTGATGACATAAACCTTATTGGAACTTCTATAGAACTCCAAAAGGCAATTGATTATTTAAAGAAGGAATTCGAGATGAAAGGTCTCGGAAAGACAAAATTATGTCTTGGTTTGCAAATTGAACATTTGGCAAACGGAATTTTTATTCATCAATCTGCCTACATAGAAAAGGTATTGAAACGATTTTACATGGATGGAGCACATCCATTAAGTACTTCGATGGTTGTTCGATCACTTGATGTGAATAAGGATCCATTCCGACCTCAAGAAGAGAATGAAGAGCTACTTGGTCCTGAAGTACCATATCTTAGTGCAATTGGTGCACTAATGTATCTTGCTAATACTACAAGGCCTGACATAACCTTTTCAGTTAATGTCTTAGCAAGATATAGCTCTGCTCCTGCAAGGACACATTGGAATGGAATCAAACACATATTACGGTATCTAAAAGGAACTACCGATATGGGCTTATTTTATGGAAATAATTGCAATCCCGATCTTGTTGGTTATGCCGATGCTGGGTATTTATCTGACTCACACAAGGCTCGATCTCAAACAGGTTATGTGTTTACCTGTGGAGGCACTGCCATATCTTGGCGATCGACTAAGCAATCAATTGTGGCTACTTCATCTAACCATGCTGAGATAATTGCTATTCATGAAGCAAGTCGAGAATGTGTGTGGTTAAGGTCTATAATACA